TCGGAAGATGATTTGAGTACTGAACCTCCTGCAGCTGCTGCTGATGAAGAAAACAATGAGAGAGAGAAGAGGAAGGGTGATGAAAATGAGTCAAGAGAAGAGTCGTCACAACCAAAAAAGGCAAGAGTTAAGTTAAGCCATCTACAAAGTTCAGATGATACCCAAGAAGAAGAAAACCTGTAGGTTGGTAGTGGCATAGTAGAACTAAAGTTTTGTTATTGTAGTCTGTATTCTGTAATAGTATCTAATATGGAATCCCTTTGTTGGGTTAGGAGACTGGACCATCTGTTGGCTGTTAACAATTTATTCTGGATTAATACAATTTTATCTTGACAATATATCTATCTCTCCCTTGAGTTACCACGTGCCACTTGTCTTTTTACCAGATACTACCTTAACTCCTTCACCACTAGGCTCACCTCAGTGGTTCAGGTTGTGTATCATACTGTTATAGGACTGTAGTATTGTCCCAGTTAGCCTCTTTTTTGTTACGCAAAAATATGACTGTAGTATTTGTTAAACAACTTGGGGTCAGTTTGAGTGATCATTTACAAAATTCTTTTGAAACTGATTTTACAAAATTATTTTAGTTAAAATTGATTTTGAAGTAATGTGATTTTTGTTTAAATGTTTTATTTTTAAAGCAAAAATTATCTAAAATTACTTCTACTCAATCAATTCATGACCAAGAATCATTTTTTCAATGAAAAATCAAACATTTAAATATTTGTCTAAAATCATGTTAGAACTTGGACATAATTATGGTTTATCTGATGTGAATTCAAATGCGCTATTTGACACACCAATAATCACAATATGCATCTAAACATAATGCAATACACGCGCCTTTACATAAGCATCCATAACCTAACTACCGCGCACACGTGTAGATACTCGTCCTCTAACGTTCAATATGGATTCTACACAATTTTGTTTATAAACAAACGCACAAGTTATCAGCATTTTGCAAAAGTGAATTGTTGAAGAGCCCTCAATATTTAATCAATCACAAAGCTTTAAATTCGTCAAACACGAAGCCAATGCATCCTTAAGGTGCATAACAAAGCTTTAAATTCGTCAAACACGAAGCCAATGCATCCTTAAGGTGCATAACAAGCAGCGTAATAAACTAAGCCATCTGCCCATCACAAAAATGAGTATAGGTGCCCATTTTGAAGTGGCAAAATATTTAGGACTTGATACAAATACATATGAAACAACATCAAAGTTCAAGAAAAATTACATAAATGTACACAAGTACAAATGGCTGCATCTCAATTCAAGTGACTCCTAGCATTTTCCTTTATGCTTTGTAGATCTAGCCAATAAACTAAAACACATAAAGAAGAAAACTGAATCTCTACTCTCTTTACAATGATACTGCTAGACAGACATTTACAAGGCTGAGCAGCCGTTGATCCACGTTACTACCTCTGCCGGTCCAAGTTCTTTACAATTCTTCCATCCCACAACCAGTTTAACATCAATCCCTTTATCTTATATTTAACTATATAATATAATGTTTTCAATTCCTTTTCTTTGAGCCTAGTTTGTGATGACAACAATTGAAAAAAAGGAATACATTTCCTAAAACTGTTTCTCTTGTGTCCCATTGAACAACCTAGAAGTTGTATCAACTGAAAACACTGAGATGAATCTCACCGCTGCCTGCAGAGTTAACTATTTTAGAATTGAATCGTGTCAAGATATAGAGCTGAAACTTTCGATGGGATCAGATTCTTCAAGCATGGAAGCTGCTTGGAAGCAGTCAGCAGCATCATTTATTCGGCCATCAAGCTTGTGAAGCAATCCCAAGCAATACCAAGCCTTGCGATTTGTGTGCTCTATTCGAAGTGCATCAGACAGTGAGCTTCTTGCAACAGTCAAATACTCCGAATCTAAACCCATTTTTTGAATCAAAGCACCCATCAAAATCTTGCATGGAACATGATTTGGTTCAAGTAGTACAGCATTAATAGTAGCACAAAGAGCTTCTCGATTTTGTCCACGTCCTTCAAACAAAACACCTGGCAGAGCACACAGGAAAATATAAAATGTCTATCCTAGAGGTCCCTCAATTTTTCATACAAGCGGATAATTCTTAGATCATTGCTTCATTCAGAATTGTTATGGTTTTAAGCTCTACTTCACGGCCTTCATGGATGAAACTTTACAATCTTAAAACTTTTAAGATGGCATGTGGATCCATCGTCTTAGGCCTATGACCAGGCATAAGCTAATGGGATTATGGATTCAATGGGACCCAATAAGGCACAGGGAAGACGTGCAGATTTGCATACACAAAAATTTCCTCTAAACTTACTCACCATGAAAAGCACCAATTGATAGGATTCAACTCCTATCTGACAAAAAAGAAGACTATTATACAAAATAAGAAAAGGAAAACAGAGTAGATAAGAGCAGATGCTCCTAAGATCCACTGAAGCCTTATTGTGCCCAATTGGATCCATAATCCTATCATAAGCAACGATAGGATAGGAGGTTTGCAGGCAAGGGATTGATTCCATGGTCCTGCCTTAGCCACAATTAGATCAAAAGAGGTGGAGATTAAGTTCAACTTGCTTAAATAGAAAACATCTAACAGCATAAAGGTTTTGGTCTTGCCTTCGGTGTGCACCAATGCTGCAGAATATTTCTTCAACTCCCTGGCCTTTTGCAAACATATTTCAGCATCCTTCCAACGAGAAAGACTAGCATATAAATTTGCCAGACCATGCCAAATATCAAATTCATTTACTTTATAATCCTCAACCTGGAAAGAGTTTGACAAAATGGAAGTAAGATTGATTTGCAATCATCAATTTTATTTTTTTTGGAATCAACAATTTATAATTGAAGAGTCCCTTGAAGTAAAAAACATCTCGGGGATTCCTTTCCTCTTTTTCCCCATCAACCAAAAACTTTCTTTCAGTAAAACCAAAAGAAAGAGGAAGCACTTAAAATTCAGAGTAAAAAATGACAATAAAAAGGAAATATCAGAACACAAGAACAACATAAAAGAAATGCATAAGAAACAACTTTTATTAACTTGTACATCTTTTTCTCCCAAAGCCATGGACATTGGACACATCTTTGAAGTAGTCATTTCTACAGGATTGTAGATAAAGCTTCCCAGACAACAGCCAACTCCATACAACCAACTAACTTTTTCACACAGGTTACCTTTTGCAACACTAAGAAATGCTTGCTACTGTGATTTTTGGTTCGTGATTGACATCATGGTGTTTTTTAGTTTCTTCTAAGTCAAATCTACTACAATGGTACAGAATTGTAATGATCCAAATTCATGGTGTGGGACATTCTAAGTCCCACAGTAGAAGTATAAGATTTTGGTATGGGTTTATAAGGCCTTAGACTCACCAACTAAACGGCTAATTGTTGTGGTGTGGTTCTCTCAAAATTCTCATTAATCAGTATTAAAGCTTTTCACCATGTTTCTTAGCTGCAAACAAGCGATGCAAGTGGTGACACCAGTATTGTAAGGTTCACTCAGCACTATTTAAAGGACTAATGCACAGCTAGTCCAGATGGGATTTGATGCTATGGTGCATAGTGTGATGTAGAATCTAATTGCAAGGTACAAGACTTGAGTCTCACATCAGAAGTATAAGATTTTGTTGGGGTTCATAAGACTTTGGGATTTCCAACTTCAAAGATATGCTTCATAGCGGGTTCTCTCAAGGTTCTTGTTAAGATCCCACATTGACTATAAATATAGCCAAAGTAAGGCTTACAAAAGCTTAGATAATCCTTATCCCATGTTGAGTTACGCTTGGGACAAATTCAAGATAATATTTGTGCTTTCATATCATAGGTATGATATTTTTGCCACCCTCAACTGGCCAAAAGTTTTCCTGCCACGGTGATTTTCCTAGTGCAACCTAAATTGCCTTGACCCTTGAGGATTTCCCAATGCAATATAAAAATAAAAATAAAAAAAAAAAGACAGTCCTAAAATCTCCATGTTCCAATTGTTCAATCTTGGGTGCGAGGGTGTCTTGTGATCCCATATCAACTATAGATCCTCATGGACTAACTTTTGGGGTTGAGTTAGTTCTGGGCCAAATTCAAGTGCTCTTATCAGAAACCCACTTACCCCACTACATATATTCGACTGCTATTACAGTCAAAAGTAAAATTCATTAGGACATGACGTACGTAATTTAATAACAAAAAACTACTATAATCACAAATCTCACATAAAATTGACATGCCTCGCTATTATATTAAACAAATCCTGAAAGTAGTAAAGTAGATGGAAGAATCTTACTTTTGAACTAATTTGGAGAGACCCAAAGGATTTCTTCTGGGCTTGAACCAATGCAAGAAGGTAACGATAAGTTTCAATAGCATCCATGGGTCGTGATTGGGAGATCTTCAACTTTGCTTTTAGCCTAAGCAGTGGGCCCTGCTCCCATCTTGCAGTCTGATCTAAAGCAGCATCTGTCACCACTTCAGCTTCTGAAAATCTTTGTTGTGCAGACAAAATTAGAACAAGCAATATCCAAGCTTTCAATACAGAACCACCCGTTTCATTAAAGAAATGCCTTGCAGAGCGCAAAGCAGCACGCAAATTTCGGTGCTCTGCATACTGAACAGCCAATTCAAAAATCAGATCAGAATTGTTTGGCTCCAATCTAATTGCCTCCTCCAGTGACTCCAGAGCTTTGGACTGAAGGTGAGACCTCTCATAATCAGAGGAAGCAACCTTAGCTTGCTTTCCCAAACAAAGTCCCAACATCCGAAGAGCAACACCTTTTAAATGCTCTTTTGGGCCATGAGCATTACTGATTGCCCTCTGAGCATAGTTCACTCCCTCATTAGCAAGCTGGGGATCCTCACTGCATATCTTGGCAGCTAACAACAATGATGTAAGGTCATTTGGCTGTTCATGTTTGTGCAAAGACTTCCTTAGTAGATTCAAAGCATTGTCATTTTTTCCAGCTCCACTAAGACATAAGGCTAAAGAATTCCAACAATCAATTCGGTGGTATACTCCAGGCATCAATTCTTCAAATTGCTTTGCTAAAGCAGAAGTTTGGTTACATATAGACAGTGCAAAAGTCAGGTGTTCCATGACTGAAGGATCCCATTTTATCTTACCAAGACAAAACTTTTTCAAAAGAATCATCAATAGCAGAATAGCCTCTTCAAGATTATTTTTAGGCACATATGATCCATCAATCTGAACTGCTAAACTAGGTGGACTTGCCTCCACCCCACTGTATAGCAAAAAAACAACAAATGACTTTTGAATTCTTGCACAGCAATCAGTATCAAGGTTCCATTGACTAAGAAGGGCACGCCTATAAGCAGAGATTGCCTCATCATAGCAACCAGCTTGTTTCCAAAGCTCTGGAAGGAGCTCCACTGCATGGCTGACTATCTCTTGCAACTTATTATCCACTTGAATATCAGGAATCCCCAGATAAAATATCTTCTCAACAGCATCAAGAATACGTTTACATTCACTAGCAGCCTCTGTAGAATCCATTAAACAAGCATTTAAATGCATTCATTCTATTTAAGAAATATAATATTAAGAAAGTAAGGTGGAGAACAACTTTCAACAGTCTAGAATATATTAAATACCAGTAAATTTCCTAAGTTTTTGCAGAGACTTGGCTTTTAAGTAGATGGCTTCAAGCACCAAACTAGCCGCATGCTGAGAGATTGAGGGTGATTCAATGCGAGTGCGACCTTTCTTGGCTGGTTGTTTTTCAGAAAAGGCAGGTTGCAATCGCTGTATGGCAGCTTGGAGATCAATTCCATCAAACACACGAAGAGCACCTTCTACATTACCTCTTTGATACTCCAACTTTCCAAGAAGAGCTCTTGCTTCCTGTTAAAAGTTTTAAAAGTAACAATGGGGCAAAACTCAAACATCTGATTATTTTATCCCAAAAATGATGCTGCTCCAATCCAGTGCCAAGAATCAAGGCATGCAAGATCTTCATATACAAACATTTAAGGGATAATTTGCATCAAATTTAATCATTGTACAAATTATGAGATCCATTTCTTTGATTGGCATATTTATCTAGCTTCAAATTCAATTATAATACGGTCATTTGTAAAAATTGCAAGCCATAATATGTTTGATACTCATAAAAGAAGAATTTGAGTACTGATCACATTACAAAAGAAAAATCATGCTCTCACGTGTAAAAAAAATTCTGTGAGAAGGATTTTAAGGTTCAACACATAGAAGAAATATATCCCTAGTCATTGAAGAAGTTAAGAATAACATAATAGTTACTGCTGCCTAAATAAAGCAGGCATTACAAATTTTTCTTGGTTAAAATTTTTTCTTTTTGTCTGTGTTGCTTGCCCTATGACAGTTTTGAAACCTCAAACATCAAATTTCTAGTAATTAGCCAAAATATTTTGGTAGTTAAAAATGTAATCATGGACCTCAGAGTCCAAACATAGCCCAAAGGGTTTATAGATGGAAGACATTAGCATATTTTCTGTAGAAGGTTAGGAGTTAGGGCCTGAGTCTCTACACCTAAGACATAATTAAGATAAAGGAAATAATGATACATGTCAAAGACCTTTAAATTTGCTATTAAGATTAGAGATCCAATCATATCCTACAAAACCAGGAAAACACTAATGCCCTCCATATTTCCGCCATTTCATTATTAACATAATTGATGACCTTGCACCCACTAGTCTCGATAGATTGCTCCAAAACAGAAATATATAGTAAAACAACATAATGAAGTCTAGATAATTAGCAACCATGATGAGCAATAATTACATGCCAAATTCAAAAAAAGAAAAAAGTTTCAGAGACAATCATTGCAATCATTTGATACCAAATGGGAGTTTGAGATCAGCTTCCTCCAATAAATCTAAGTGGCAGTTTGGTCCTTGGTTTTTGCTTCTTACTATTTGCAAATATGAAATGCACAATCAAGTAACATCTGCCACCAAATATCATTATAGGGAAACGAAAGGAAATGCTAGTAACACAAAAATGGCAGGCACAAGCTAGTAAACTATGTGTCGGCATTAACAAACTGACCTCAAAATTAAGTGACAACCCTTCTCGCAATGCATCTTCTGCCTCTTGAATATTTCCTTGATCAAGCTTGGCCTCAACTTCTGATGCACTAATGCGAGTTCCATTAGCATGGAACTCTCTAAGCGACACGTTCTCTTGCTCACTGGACTCCATCAATCATCTCCCTCCAACCTGCACACACCCCATAACCATCCTTCCCACATAAGTTCCAATTTCATCATCCCTATGATACTTCAATGCCATTGCAAACTCGTCATTCACATTTCAGAAAAAGCTAAACAAAAACCCACACACACGTGTGAAATCTTCACAATCACAAAGAAAAACAAAGTTCCCCATTTCACACGGGATTGCTCAAAGCTGATCCTGGCAATGCCTTATGGGATTGCTCAAAACTCGTTTTTGATGAAATGGGGTTCCATGATAATACAAAAATGATCGAACTTTGGAAGAAGGATTGAAAATTGCAATGATAAAATGAATGGGGAGGAGGAAAAATTGCAGATCCAGGGAAGAAGGAAGAAGAAAGAAAAACGGTTAGGCGAGGGAGTGACTGACCAAAGCAAGGAACGTGGCGTTGGAGAAAAGGTGAGAGATGCAACAGTGACCTGAAAGAAGATCTAGGAGAGGGGACCCTTGAATTTGATCAGCATTTGATCAAAGTTGAATTTTTGCAGTTAACCTATATGTTTGTTTTGTCCTGTTTGGGGGAAAAAACAAGAAATAGAAAGAAACAGAGCAGTGGTGGGTGGTGTGAGGTCAACCGCTGTTACAGCTGCTGAGAGAACAGAATCAACAAAATTTAATGCCTACAAAACTAGTAACAATTAATTAAATATTCTTACTTTTAATTCTTGTACTACATTATAACTTGTCTGAGTTTAATTTTTATGTACTTGGAAGATAAATTTTTATTATTAATTAATTAAAATTTACTCTATATAATATTATTTTTTTAAAAAATTTAAAATTCTAAAAATAGTTATTAGAAAAATCAATAATCTTAATCTAATAATTGACAACTGTGTTTAAGATAATTGTGAAAGTTAAAATTTACACTATATGCTTAATTATTGTTGTAATTCATTATAATTTTGGAAGTAAAGTTGCTAAAAAAAATTGTCAATAAATGCCTGGGACATACAGTATTAAATTATTAAATCTTAGTTGAATTTTGGAGAGAGAAAAAAATCTGTATAAAAATCAATGAATGTCTACGAGACATTAATTGAAACTTGTATTTTTTTTAATAAATAAGTTACTTTTATGTATATAAAAAATTGAAATTTACAATTATTTCTTAATAATTTTAAAAAAATGCTTTATAATTTTCTCTGAAATTTTTCTTTTAACCTTTTCCCCACAACTTCATGCCATTTTAACTTTTTTTTCTTCAATTTATTATGTAAATGTTGTTTTTTTTAATTGTAGTTTACAACTTTACATAATATGTGCATTGAATTAAATCCAAATTTTTACAAAGTTTTTTACTCAAATAATATATTTTTTAAAAATATTTACCTAAATAGCAACTGTGCAAATTTATTTCTCTAACGAGTACTATTTACTGTTTACGTATTTTTTTAAAAAAAATTGTTGTAGGTCCAGGTCATGTGAGAATTTTGTATCTGGGACGGCCCGTTCTGCATGCAGCCTCTCGTAGTGTTATTTTTGTATCTGGAACGACCCGTTCTTAAACCAGAACGGGCCGTTCTAGAGTTGAATTTTTCACATAACCTAAATTTTGGAATAGCTCGTTCTAAACTAGGGATTTTAGCCCTTTTTTGTAGTTTGAAACGGGCCGTTCAACTTTTGGAACGGCCCGTCCTAACTAATTTATGCACTATGCTTTTTTTTCAATGTAATATGAATTTTATGTTTAGTTTATAAACTATTATAATTATACATTATTTGGACATGTTTTTATAGTGTAATGTGCAGGTTATCCATATTTTTCATTATTAGTCACAGTTTGACTTGTACAAGTTTCGAATCTATTAAGACAATGTCCCATTATTATCATCTCGTGTTTTTAAGTTTAAGACACTATAGTTTCATACTTCAAAGGTATTTCCTTTAAATCTAGCTTCAAACTTAGCATTGAAGCGAACACAATTTACCTTTTCAACACAGACACAACGTAGTCTCAAAGAGTAACATCAAGTAATTAAATTTATTTAATATTAACATTATAAATATAACTAAATAAATTTATTAAAACTCATTACAACAATAAAATCAATGGTGACGGGAACTAAATCCATGACCAATATTTGGACATGTCTTCCTAGTATGACCAGAGGTGTGACAATAGAAATAATTTTTTACACGATTATGTTGTTATCTAATATCCATCTCTGTTCTAATCTTTCGTATACCTTTGCAACTTGTTGTAAGGTATATACAGGAGACATGTAGGTTTCATAGTTGTGATGTGCATGTAAGCATGAAGCGAGCAAGGGATATGAACTTTCTGGAACTTGCCACAATCACACCACATTTCATCTAGCTTGCCTCTTTGAACGAAAAACTTGTTGCAACGAGTGTATGTGGCCATTACCATGGAACAAATTGACAGATTTTGTGTTTTCTTCAATACATAATTAATATATTTATCTAGGTTTGTTGTCATGTGTCCCCAACATCGTCCATTGTCCCATGCTAGTGTCCTTTTTCCCTAGGAATGTTGTCTAACCATTGGGTTGCTTCAGCATTAGTATCTCTTACTATGTTGTAATAGTAAAAGAATCTAGGTTCAGTCATCCCATAGGCCGAAAAAAAATTAATTAAATAATGAAAACTAATTATAAAGTTTAAAAAATAAGTAATGATAAAATTACCCATGTTGACGACATCCTTCTTCAGTGCTGCATTTTTGAATCGTCGCATGAAGTTTTGTGCAGTGTTTCAAATACAATAGACATGAACAAAATTATTTTCTGCCAACCACTTCCATTTCTTGAGTATGCACTTCGAATAGCCTCACGACGATCAGAAATTAGGCACAACTAGTCTTGCGGTGTTACATACTGTCTTAAGTTCTTAAGAAAAAAAAATCATGCATCGCTAGTTTCACCTTTAACAACAGCAAATGCAATAGGAATTATGTTGTTGCGACCATCTTGCGCAACTACAACCAATAACATACCTTTGTATTTGTCATATAAAAAGGTTCCATCAACTTGAACAATTGGTTTGCAGAAGGCAAAACCATCAATGCATGGTTTAAAGGTCCAAAATAACCTTTTGAATATAACATTCCCCTCTTTCCCAGAACGGGCCGTTCCAAAACCAGAACAGCTCATTCTAAACTTCTAAAAATGCCTAAAAACCTAGTTTAGAACGACCTGTTTTGGTTTTAGAAGTGTCAGAACGGTCCGTTCTGACTTTGGAACGGGCTGTTTCAGATGCAAAATTAACGCATGTTCAAGCAGAACGGGCCGTTCCAAACGCGCGAAAAAAAATTTAAAAAAGTGAACAGTAAACGGTACTAGTTGAGAAAATAAATTTGCAAAGTTCCTATTTTAAAAAAAAATATATTATTTGAGTAAAAAATTCATTTTTACACTATTATCTAATTAAGAATTACGTTACATGTAATTTTTAAAATATCTATCATAAATTGTGTAAAAACTAATTTTTAAATAATGAGATTTCTTAATCTATACTTTTATAATAATAATAATAATAAAAGATATATCTTTATAGTGTCCATGATTTATTTTCTAATTTTATTCTTTGATTATTTTTATTTTGCTTATTAAAAAATTGTTATTTTCTCGAAGTCACAAAAGGTCTTTTATCCTATTAGAATATATAATAAGATTTGTTAACTTTAAACCATAATAAATTACAAGATTTGTTTATATATATATATATA